TCTTCCAACCCGGTTGATTCTATTATTTGATGATAGGTGAAGTTTGGAAAACTGCTTGCCAAACTCCAGGTCCACAAGGCAGTGAAGTGACTCCCTGTTTTCAAGCAGTTTTTCCTCACTTTGGCACAGCTCCTCTGCAGTCTTAAGCAATAGAAAGACCAAAGAAATGCACAGAAAGTTTGAAACTGTCTTGTTTATTCAGTTCTTTTTTTGAAGTTCTCAATTTTAAGTATATTAAATGTAAACATTTTACTCACTTCATAGAAAGCTCTTTATAGTACAATTTGTTTTTACTGTATAATTAAATATTTTCAAAGTTCTGTTTTCCTTTGTAAACAAGTTGGTTTGGTAATTAAAAAACTGGTTATACCAAATGCTCAGTTTCTCCAACCTCCTCAGCTTCCTGACAGCCCTCACTGCAGGAAAGGCAGGGAGAAGGTGGGTTATCAGTTGATTATCCTGGGACTTTTTGGGAGGATTTGGGGAGATTTTTGCTCCCAGTTACTGTTGGTGACAACAAAACCTCAAGCAATGTAAGGGCTCATCTGCACTCAGCAGGTTTGTGTGGCAGAGCCCTTGAGTTTCTAGGCAGAGGGCACAGATCTTTTGTGCTCAGCTGTGCTGCCCTTATGGCTTTCTCCAGGTTCAGCTGAGCTGATGGAAAACCATAATGTTTTGGGGCATTAGAGGTGATCAGCTGGAGAAATACAAGATGACATCTTGCTCTCCAAAATCTTCCAGTTCGAGTGCTCAGCAAAAGGTGTTTTATTTGTAAAAACTAAGCTGAAGGCCCAAGTATGATACAAATATTATTGCTGCAATATTCATTACATTATAGTTCAAAGGGGTGTTAGAAACTGAACTTGAAACAGTTCAAACCCCCCACGTTACATCTCAATTTCATATTTGCACATGATCAGTGCACAGTAACTGCCTAAACTGCTGCAGGGATATTTGCATCATTGCCTTCCAACCCCTCCCTCCACACCCCCACGTGGACACTTCACATTTATCATAAAAATAAACAACTTGGGAATTTCTGGATGACCTCTGTGTGTTGGATTTAGAGCTCAGACTCAGCACACTAAGGGTAAACTTTACAGCTGTGTTCATCTGCACTTGGATTCTGAACATGACCTCCACACGCAGCAAGCGCAAGGCAGCAGTGCTTCATGTGTCCCTGCACTGTGGCAGGAGCAGCAGCCCTTTCTCTTCCCCCGTTTTGGTTCTTAATTCCCCTTGGAACAGCTCTTCCCATGCCTGGCATGTCCATAGTACACAGCCTTGTTGACATTTTTTCCCCTGTAGCTTATAGAATTTATAGATCAGATTTTAGTTCACCGAGTTTAAAGAATCTCACAGACACAAGACTGAAATTCTCTTTTGTTTGTTTTCTGAGTTCAGTTTCTTTAGTTTTCCATCATTAATGACACTTCCTTTCTGGGTACAGATTAGTATCTGAGAACTACTCCTGGAATCTGTTGCTCATAAGGGCTTAAAGATTAAAACCAAAACTAATATTGCTGTCTGAATCATGTTCCTATTATTTTTGTGTTAGAAAAACAGGAGCTTCTGATTTACTCATGTTACAGAGGGCCAGGAGAGCAAATCAGCAGAGACAAGTTTTGACAGCCCCTCACAGACACTGCATAATTTTTCAAGATGACCTTCTAGTTGCTCCTTAAAAATGTATTTATTAATACTTTTAGAGCCTCCAGCTCAAGTTCTCATGCAGCTGTTCTGGTATGAGGTACTGGCAGCACTGAATGGAAGACATCCCAGTCATCCTCCCTGTCCCCAAACAGTGGTTTGCCTTGGCAAATATTACCCTGTTTATTTCTGAAATGTTAATTAATGAAGAGCCCTTAAATTCCAAACCTTATTTCTTGTTGATAGCTTAGCTCTCTTCTGTGCTTCAGGAAAGCAGAAGCATCTTCCTGATGGATTAACATGATACAGGCCTAAAAGTGACTTCCTAAAGATGTAGGTGGTGCTTACTATGAAATATTTAAAATAAGCAAAGGAAAAAACCTCAGATCTTCCCTATTCCAGGCAAGTTCCTAGGCTGTGCTCAGCTCTTCCAGGCATCCATCCAAAGCAAGGTACTAGAAAAAAATGTATTGCCCTTCTAAATCAAAGCTTTTCATCCCTCTCTGTCTCTCCATACTGATATCCTTTGGTGCATTTTGTGTCTGCACTTGAGATTCTTAATATTCCTGTTTTTCTGTAGATTCCCATCATGCACCACTGCCAGGAGTTCCCAATCTTTTTATATATGGTGACTCACTGGGGAATTCCTACTCCTGCAGAGGGACTACAACCAGCCCAGATAGCTGATGAGGCCTCAACTGTTGTTTCTAGGAAGCATCACTGATGTCTTTAACTGAGAAAAACTTGGGTATAAGTGCAAAATTTTCCTCTGAAAGCTGTTTTTCCCTTTGAGAAGTACTTTTCCTGGGAGCCAAATTTGCCCATCTCCAAAACACTGCCCAAAAAGCAGTCAGTGGGGAGTGGGACACTACTTTTCTCCAGACACTATCCTGCTGGCTTCCATCTACGTGGCTTTTGGGATTTCCTGCAGGAATGGCACTCAGAAAAAGTTGGGAGTTAGTGTCAGGTAACTCAGTGCTACCTGCATCCAGCCAAGGAAAGCTGCAGCACCCAAAACAGTTTAAAAAACATCCATGGAAAGTTATTTTTGACTGAACTTATTCTCAATACAATGATTTCCCCAAAACCCTTTTGTGCACAGAAGAAATTACAATAAGGCTAGAGGCTGAACCAACACTACCTGATCCAGAGTGTTTGGAGTAGAGGCAAAGGAAGGGTGTCCTTGGCCAGGATCAACGTGATCCAAATGTTCCAGAGAAACCCTTTGCACCCAAGCTGTACCACTGCACAGTGTTTGGTCACCAGCTGCTGCCAGAGGAGCTGCTGCTTCCTCATCCCAACTTGGGAAGTTAATTACCCAGGGTTGGAGGCCAGTCAGCATCAACAGACTAGAAAAGTAGGGAGGAAAAAGGCAAAATCAGCAGATTTGATATTTTACATATATCCAAAGAATCACAACTCCTTTTGCAACTACTTTCCAGCATCACTTGATGTTGGGATGAAACAACTTGTTTGGTGGCACAGAAATATTCAGGTACTGGGTAATACAGGCAAGGCTGGAGTGGAAAAACATCCCCTGCTCCCAAATGTGCATTCTGAGTGAGTAAAACCAGACTAGAGGAATCAGATGGCAAGCACTGTCTAAGAGTTATCTAGGTGACATCACTAACAGTCAGCCTGACTGTTAATCAAAAGGGACAAAACATGCCTGACCCTTTATGAGAAGCAAATGTCATAATTAACACCCCTTGGATTATGCCTTTCTTCTCTGAGGCCACAGCTTCAGTTCCCTCTGGGCATGAAGTTGGTGCTCACCCTCTTGCCCAGGCAGCACACCCCATCATGCTGCTGTTGGCAATCACCACCCAGGAATCACCCTGTGCTCGTTAAATGTTTTGGCTTCCACACCACCTGCATTAATCACACCTAATCTGCAGCTCCATCAAGGATCAGGCTCTTGGGCTGAGCTAAAATGCATTGTTAGCAAGAAGACTAATTATTTTCAAAGTCCCAGACAGCCTTTATAACTCTGCCCAAGAACTAGTGACACCTCTCTGTATGACAGCGATGCCCTGGGTTGGGAATTCCCATTGTCAGGAGTACCCACGTTCCCCCTGCAAGCTCTCCTGCTGTATTGTCCTACAAAAGAGGTGCAAGTAACTGCAAAATGTAACCTGGAAGAAAAGCTCACTGATCACTGGCTGCTAGAAATGTAACCCCATGTTTTAAATCAACCTTGCCAAACCACCAGGTTAGATGTTAAATCCATAACTATGTACTCTCTTTTAACGAAAACAACTTCTGTGTTTTCATCCGACTCCAGCCAGTGAACAGAGAGGATTTCTTGCTGTGTTTGAACCAGCACTGACAGAGGAAGTCGAATCTCTTCTCTTTTCCGTCCGCCCCCACTCTGGAAAGCAATGATGTACATGGAACATAATGAGCTCTGTCCCAGTGACATCAACTCATGCTATGTCCTCCCATCCCTCCCTGACAGAAGTTCAGAAGAGGAAGCCTGGCACACATGGCACTATGGTACAAGCCACTAGTTTTGTATTTACATCAAGTTTTCTATTCACTATGCTAAGAAATGTTGCTCCAGTTAAGAGCAATCCCATGGAAAGCATCTCACAAACGCAACCATGTCCATGTTATTAATTTTCAGGGAAGATAAACAGCAAACTTACCTCTACATCCAACTCCAGAATGTCAGCAGTTCTGTTCAGAAGGGACCCAATATTGGGCTTTGTTCTTCCAAAGTCTCCATGCACAAATTCCTTAATGTAGCTGGCAATACTGGCTAAGGACAGGCAGATTTTACAGCAAAGAAATCAAAAGGAGGAAAATAGTGTCTTTTTATACTCCTACACCAAATTCAGTTAATGCCCTGTTAAGCCCATACCCATCTTTAAAAGACCTCCTACTTCTGACTCCAGTGCCAAAAACTGCACTGCTGACCTTTATTTTCTGTTTGATTCCAAAGTGAGTGGTGACTTTATGACAAAACCGCTGAGTTGTCTGAGTAGCAGCAATCTACAACCTGCAGTGAAGTGCACGAGAGTGCAGAAAAGCTGATTTTCTAAGGTGAAAAGTTTTCACTTAAATTAGAAAAAGCTTAACTGTATTTTTAACGAGCGTATTTTTATAGCTGTCACATACTTTATCAGAGTGGTCAACACAAAAGTAGACACACAGTGATGGCACTTGGGAATGAAAACCTCAATAAACTGTGACAGAAAAGCAACCATTATGCAGCAACACAGCTGCTGGAGAGCAGGAGACTTCCCATTACCCCAGTCCCTCTAACCAGAAGTTGTTTGGCACTGCCCTGTGCAGGATACGTCCCTGCCTGAGTCCTGAGGCGCAGGCGGAAGTGATGCTCATCGATGTACTCGGCTGTCATGGTGTGGATGAGGCGACACCGCACAGCCAGAGGCCTCCTGTGGAGAACCCGCAGAGGGGTCTTCTGCTCCAGCTTTAATTCCTGCTCCAGGAGGTCATGAAAGAAATGAGGAAGGAAATGTGCGACATGCTGTTGAGATTGTAGGAGTTCTCTGTGTTGTTAATCAATTGTACCTCTTTTATCTGATGTTCTGGTAGTTGAGGAAACTTGAGGCAAGGCTCATTTTTTCCATGTTTATCAAAGGGAAAGGACAGTCATCTCAGAGGCTAACTGAGGCTTCATATGAACACAAACTAATGGAATCACAAATACAGAGGAATAACCTTGAAATCTCCATAGCCCTTTGCTGGAATGACTCCAGGATTTAGAAGCTCACTGAGAGCCTCAGGGCAATCAGGCAAAAAAAAAATCCCACCCACAAAATGCTTTGTCTAAAGTACAGCCAAGCCCCTAGAAATAAAAGTGAGGAAAAAACCCTGAAGGGAGATTAGATGTCCTAACAGTCTTTTCAAAAGTTCATTCCCCACTCCCTTTCCCAAATGAGATGCAGCAGTTTGAAAAGCAACTTTACAGAAATGAGAGAAGCTAAAGGGAAAGCTTCCCAACAGTCATCTCCTCAAGCTCAAGCCCTCACTCTGAGAAGGATTTCATGGGCAAGACACATAGGGAATGGTGCAACACAACAAAAACTGAACCCACTTGTCCATCAGACCAACATCTGGGGAAAGTTCTCCTTCCCGCAGCATACTGAGCACTTCCTCTTCGCACTCTCTGTCAAAGACACTGCCAACTCCAATTGCTGCAGCTGCAGGAGAACAGCTTTAGAGCTTGCAGAACAAAAGAGCTTCTCTGCCCCTCTGGCTTACACGAAACACTGTCTAAGGTAAAGAAAAGGCTGCAGGTGCCAAATTCCCTCCTTTCCATCCACTAGTTTTGATTATTTGGTCTACTGGAAGGTGCACATTGTACAAGGATTTGTTGTCCAGGCTAACAGTCAGCCAGCTGTCCTGCTGTGATGGCAGTGGTGAAGGAAGGAAGGGTGGTATCTACGTCCCTAAAGCAAGAGAAACCCTGATTTAAAAAAGCAAAAGCAGACACAGAGAAAGAGGTATGTCCATGGGTGCACATATTTAACAATTCCCTAGGGCACCAGGACACGTACTACATAAATTAGCAACAAGAGCTCCTGATACCTTGATATCATCTAGAAATGCAATGTCTTCTTTCTGTATCGCTTTGTCTGTCCATATTAAGGCACTATAGGTCTTTGTCTTCTCCTCTTCACCTTCCTTCATCCGACCAATTGCCTCTCTAAACAAAAGGAATTAATGACTCACTTAACATAAGCATAATTAGCCAAGGCTGTGAGCAGCAACACTTGCACCAATCCCAAAGTGCCACTCTGAAATCCCTTGGCAGCAACAAGAAATACTGACCTGGTGACAAGCTGTAAATCTCGAACCTGTATTTTGTCTGAAGAGTTATTAATTGCCTGTGATAGTTAAAAAAGAATCAGTTAGCAAAACTGATGGGTGAGAGAAGCAGCAGATGCTTTATGAGCTCTGTGAGGCACAAATGATTTACCTGCTGAAGCTTCTTCATCTCCTCAGCAGTAAAATGGATTCTGCGAGGATTCACAAGCTCAATTGCAAAGGGCCTTCCTGGCATAAAACAGAAAAACATGTTGTTCTAAATTCATGTTGGAGTTTAGGCAGGAAGGTTGGAAGGTGTGAAGACTGTCTGCTATTAGACAAACAGGGAGGGGACTTGTGGGGTTAGGGATGTGGCATCAGATGGAAGGAAACGAAACAAGGGACTGTTTTTTGGCTACTAAACCCCAGGATCAGCAATAAGTGCAAATTATGACTTCCCAGAAGACATCTTGTACAAGTCTGTGCTAATTAAAAAATAAAATAAGAAAAAAGTTAATTAGCTTATTTTCTGTCACCTACAGCAATGCCCAGGTGCAGGATGATGTTAAATCCCATTCCCTCAGCTAAACATCTGTTGCCATAACTGTGCTCTCTGTGCTCAGGGCCAGGGACAATCCCCAGCATAAGCAATGCCAAGAATCACACTACAAATCAGGCAGCAACTGAAACAACTGAAACAGAGAATTGTTCATTTCGACTTTTTCTTTCCTTCCTCCTTTGACTACAGCAGCTTCAGCATATTGCCCAGCAGGTGCCCTTTGTAAAGGACCTAAGCTCAAAACCAAACAAGGCTCTCCCACTACACAGTGACCTCAAGGAAACTAGAAGGATGCAAGAGAAAACAAGGCAGGAATCAGCCTAACATCAATGGCTTAAAAGTAGGGAGTGAAGAAAATAAAATACTCCTAACCAGCTACGTATTTCCATGCAGCCAAGGCTACTCCTCTTCCAAGTTGGTTTTATGAAGCTCTTTGAAATAAATACATAAATATCACCAAAATTTTTCTGAGAGAAAATTTCAGAGCATGCCTTAGCATTCAGCAAGATCTGTTAGAGTTAGGTTCACACAACCATTTCATTTCTGTGTTTCACGAGGGATCTTCCAAGCCTTACCATTGCCTAGTGTCCTTACATCCACATCTTCTCTTCCAGAAGAAGAAAAATTAAAGCCTATAACAGATTTGAACAAGGCAGGTGAGATTTTATTTGACGTTTTTAACACTCTCTACAGCTTTAACAAGGTGAAACATTTTCTTTCTAAACTGGTTTGCAAAATCTACTTCAAAGAGTTATCTCTGGAAACTGAAGCCTGAACTTCAGGAACAAATCTGGGATATTACTGTTTATTTACAAGTTTCTGGAAGAGCACTCCCAGTTCCTTGGCCTGAATGAGACTACTAGAATGAGACTGACATATTCACTGGGAGGAGAGGAGAGAAAATTAGCAGGGTTTTTTCCAAAGTAATATTTAATGCATTTTTTTCCTTGGGCCTTCCATGTTATGTTTTTCATTCCACAAATGATGAATGACAGGCAGTAATTATTTACTCTGGATGATCTGCTAGATGCTTACTGTCTGCTTTGAATTCTGCCATTAGATGCTCCGAAATGAGTTCTTCCACTGAAGATTCCAGCTTCCTCTCCCCATCAATAATCCAGGGAGTCTGAGGTAAATTCCTTGAATATTTGTTGTATCTTCCTGTAAAAAAACACCCATGTTACCTCTGATCATTCTAAGACCATGGACAAAAGATCCAGTACTGCACAGCATTTAACTGGCATCAGAGCTTGGTGAAAATAAATGTACAGGCTTAGACTTGTTTTACAGGAAAAGCATTCCAGCACCCAGGAGAGCTGCAGGATTCAGGATGCCCACTTAAGGAAAGACTGGGAGAGCCTGTTGCTGCAGTGCTACCTTCAGGTACAACCCTCCTGTAGTAGGTAGTTCAGGCTCCAAGCCAAGCTCTGAGGCTTAAGAAAAGAAATATAAACTAAAATGCTTTGGCTCACTACAAGAAGAACTGTGTGAGGAGCAAAAAGGCTCAAAAATTAACTAGGAGAAATGTCAGGAACCTTGAAAAGGTGCAATGTAAAGGGACTGCACTGATCCCAGTGGCACTCTGGTGCTATCCCACCTCCCATGCCACAAGGGCTGCCATAACCAAAGAGCAAGCCTGACATGGGTGACCAAGATGAGCTTTTTTATGGACAGGTTTGATAAGAAGTTAAGATATGCACAAAGGAAGGAACTCCTTCATAAAGGACAAGGACTAAGCCCCTTCTGCTCAAACCAGTTTCAACCTGAAACCTTGTGGATAGAAACTAAAGAGCTCAGAGCAGCTCTGTGCATTACACTGTGCCTCTTACATCTCAGGTTTTGGGGGTTTGTATCATATTTTCCTATCTTGAACAACGTTTCCTTCTTGCATTTTGATCTGCAGAAAAAGCCACACAAACAACTGGGGAAACTGAGTAACAGTTTCACTGGGGCAAACAATGAAGGGAGGATGACTCATCACTCAGATGCAGCTTCACACTGCTAAATTCTCTTTCCATAAAATGGAAAAAGGAACATAAGATGTTTTGGTTTTTTTTCTCTCAACTTCCCATTCTAATAATTGTAACTTCTGATCTGAACAAGAGTAGGTTTAACAAAAAAAGAGGTGTTTCTTGGTTTGACAGCTTCTTAAAAAAAATTGGAGTGGGAAGGGATCACTAAATACCAAAGGTAAGGTCAAGAGGGCAAGGCCAACCCTGAAACTGTGCTTACAAATTAAGATCCGGTCTCATTTAACAATAACAACATAACTGCACTGTACTCAATTCTATTCTGGATTTATCTTTCAAAAATTAAAGACAACATCCTGCCTGGATTTTTTTTTTGTTGGTGCAATATATGAACTATAAATCACAAAACCAATGCTAAATGACATGCAGAAAGCAAACCCTCTGTGTTTCTCTCCATACAGATGAATTCTGATAAAACCATCTCACCTAAAATAAACCAGTGTGTTTGGAAAAGGCTAAAAGGAACTGGATATCTTGGATTCATAAAAATGTACATCTGCCTAATCAGTAACTGAACATAAGAAATGGGCATTGAACATCAACTATGTCATGTTGAACACTCACTTTTGAATTTTTTCTTTTGACAAAAAAAATCTTCTGTAAAGGCAAATAATTTCCTCCCCTTTCAAACCAGTTCACTCTTGGATAGAGTTAGATTTGTTTCTTTGCTCCTTATACTTCATTACATGAATTAACCTTTGAGGTTTCCTGGCAGTATTATAAAGTTCAGTTCAGACAACACAGCAGGAAATAAATGGATCACTTTACCAGCCACAAAAACTGCACCATTATTGCACTGAATTTCCAGAGCAACACAGAGGTTCTTTGGTGAACTTGGGGGACATGGAAAATGCCTATATTAAAAAAGAAAAAAAAAGACAGTAAAACATACTAATAATACCAGAACATGATGGAGCATCACCAGAGCAGTTAGGGCATGAGAGATGATGACACAGCTACAACAAAGTCATTATTCCCATTAAAAGCTGCAACACCAAGAAATGGATAAACATAGAGCAAATCAAGAACACCACACTGTATTTCTGTCAATCTGTCACTGAATGTTATTGAAGTTTAACACTCCAAAATCTGCTAGTAAGCTGTGCCATCTACAGCTATAGCAGTAATTAGGATTTTCTATGACCAGAAGAGCACAAAACATGCTTTAAACTAGCCAAATTTACATCATTAAAAGTTCTTTAATAGCCATCCTACCACTACTTACCCACCTAATATTTTCCTCCCCATTCTAATTCTACACAAAAGCACAATACCAAGAACCAGTTTCAGTCTATACTTACTTGAGAAAATCCTCTTCTTTTATCTTCTCTAGGGCTTTTATAACTGCCATTCTGGTGAAAACAGACTGCACAGTGAAATAAAAAAATGAGTCAACAACTAAGAAAATCAGAGAAAGGATATGCCTAAGGAAAATAAGTTGGTGATAACTCAAGTGAGGCTAAGGCAGAAAACACAAGAGTTTAGGTTCCTAGGACAGGGGAAGCAAGTGCTATCACAGGTGAGTGGAAATCTTGCTTTAGGAAGGCTGAGGGCAGGAAAAGGTCTCTAAATGAACCTCCTAAACAAAGCATGGTCAGCTCTGAGATCAAACCATACTGTCCAGGGTTTTATCCAGTCAGGTTTGAAATCCACCAAGGATGGACCCTGCACAGCCATGCTCCATAGCCTCCTCCAATGTCCAGCTGTCCTCAAGGTAAAAAGTTTTTCTTGCATCTATTCTCATTTCACCTTCCTTCTGCTGTCTCCTTCCACCATGCACTGTAACAAATAGCCTAGATTCCTGTTCTCAATAATCTCTTCTGCTACTAGGATGAGATCGAGTTGGGTCCTCCCAAAAGCTTTCTTTTGACCAAGAGAAGTACCTTCTCCCTGAAGAAGTCCAGGTTCCTCAGCCTCTCCTCCTAGGCATGCACTCCAGCCCCTGGACTGCCCCTGATGGCTATCTGCTGAACTTCCAATTTAATGATGTCTTCTTTTTTTTTTTCAAATTAGATTTGGGATTTGGGGGGAAAAAAAAAAAAAGGAAAGAACAATACTGGGTCACTGTTTGGGACAATTCAAATCTTTGTCCTATCAGAGTTCCTAGGTGCTCTTTCTCCTTCTAAGCATAAATTAGAGATTAACAGCACTTCTCTTCCTTGTCAAACAGATGAACTGGAAAACCCTTCAAGTAGCAGCAGGTTTAAATAACTATCTACAGCATATGGCACAGAAATTTCCCCTCAGAACCCAGTTTTTCTACCACTTCTCTGATTAACACAGCTCTTGAAGCTAGCTTCAAGCACAGCTTCTTTGTGAGGACAAACCTCTGATGGCTCTTCAGAGCAGGTATTTTTCTTTAGATTCCCCTGCATTTTGTTGCCTGTGTGGTTTGAACAGCCAGGCCCTGCTGGTTTAGCTCCTTAGGTGGGATTTCCCCCCTTTTAAAGGAAAGCAATGCAGCAAGCAGTGAGTTATAACAATACAAGCCTTCTAAAAAAAGACTTGCATTTATTGGTCAGGTGGAGTAGAGTAGGCAGAATTCCTGGGTCACACTGCCTCTGCCACATGTCAGTAGACTCTTCACCAGAAAGAATAAAAGGCCTTGCAATGGCTTCTGAGAGAAGTTACTCGTTCTCCCTCTGATCACATCAACTGTCCTACTTACATCAGTTTCCCTCCAACTGTTTTTTTATCCTTACATGTCCTCTTTTCTGTCAATGATTGTGTGTGTGCTCAGGGGCTGCAACAAGTGGCAAGGTCCCTTTTCTTTCCTTCCCTCCTCCAGAGGCACACAGGATAAAACCATCCTGCATGTATCCTGCCTTTCATTCACATCAGAGCACATGAAAACTGCAGTGTGATCATTTCCCTTTTGGCTGCAGAGTCTCATCTTCACAATGTGACTTATCTGAACTGTTTCACCCACAGAGAGCTTGAGGATCATCTTTTATGCTGGTTTTAATGCATGACAATCATATTCCTAGATCTTAAGGGAGGTATTTACAGAGGATATTCCTAAAATGATGGCCTTCAGACAGCCTGGAAAATGAAGCACCAAGCTCTTAGTCTTCCTGAGCTGAGAAATATGAAGTGAATAGAGACAACTTTATTTTCAGACAATTGAGAACTAGAGAGATTTTTGATGAAGGAAAAACCAGACATTAAACACGGACTGAATACCCAGAGAAGTTCTTCGTTGTAGCTACTGCTGTGAAATCCTGAACGTCAGCAAAGAAATACAACAATGATGAGATCTTACCTGTTTATTCTTGGCTGGTTTGAAACAGTCTGGACAGGCTGTGGCTCTAAACACAGAGATGAAAATTAGCTGCTTACTCTTACAGAAAAATAAATAAACAGATTTACAAGCATGTAAATGGTTTTTGTACCAATACATCCAGTATCCTCGCCCTCTGCACAGGGCAGACTTTAAAATCCACTTTATCCTAAACCACAAATGATACAAGATGTGTTGCTTGATCCAGGCAGAAATCATGGACAAAGCTATGTAAGACTCTGCTGCTCTGACCAACGTGACTGTGTCTCAGCTTTCAGATGGGATGGAAAAGCACACAATGAGTTTAGCTTTCAGTCCTTTTCAATCTTTCTCAGTAAAGGTCATGATTAATGTTTCAGTTCTGTGCAAGCTTTGCTGACACCTTGCAATCTGTACTTGCTCTTCTTAGACAATGCCCACTACAAACTAGAGATTCAAATTGCTCCTTGTGGATAGGAAAATTCAACTTCCTACCAAAAAACTAACCCCAGGTGTTCAATACTATTTGAGCTTTGCCTCTTCAAAAGGAAACTATTGGTTGTTTCATGAAAGTGAAAGCCAAGCAGTGAAACACCTTTTCTGAGTACTACAGAGGAAGTTGCTGTTCTTATTAGTGGATTTCCATGTATGCAGTCAGGGATGATTTCTAACCTACAACCCAATTTATCATTCCTTGCTGGTGCTTTTCAACAGCTCTATAACTGCTTCAGACTCTACGGAAGCAGGTCTTGCTGTTCCTACACAAGCAACTTCTCTGGCTGGTCTGTGACACAAAGCATTAGAAATTCACTCTCCAAAAATTTCAGTATCACCTCGCCCTTCAACATAAATCCCCAAATATGGACTAACAAGAGCCAACTCAATCTCCCAATGAAAACCAAGGGTCATTTCAGCACACTTACCTTCACACAACTGTGTAAGCACAGCTGGAGACATGAGATACCATAACTAGAAATCCCATCCAAAAGTTCTTCAGGTTGAGACAAAGTCCTACTTTGCTTCCACAAAAACTGCTACTGTGACAATTGCCAAATTTACCATATTTCCCTGGAAACCAAACCACTACCCAGAGCAGCTACTCACATATGCAGAATGCCTTGACACCTCAGAATTAAATTAAATTAAATTAGGTAACTAAATTAGGTAAGGTGCTGTTCCTTCAGGAAAGTGTCTCAAACCTTAATTGCTGTTTAAGTATGCTACAAAGAGAAGGCAAATAAAGGGATATTGTCAGGTCACATGGAATAAACCTAAGTAATTGGAATGGGGAATGGAACTTCTCTACAGCATTCACCTCTACAGCCATTCTGTCCAGAGCACTGGCACCAGAACATGCTCAACATTGATGTTTTGGAGATGTCACAAAAAGGATGAGCTGAAAATATGAGTGGAGGTTTCAGAGGAAGAAAGAGCACTACAGAAAACAAGATCTGATCCAGTATAACTAAATAAGTAAGAACAAAAGGGTGCAGGATCCAGAAACACTTCAGTTTTCACAGGATTGCAGGTACCATTAGTTAGAACTGTAGTTTGGCCCTACAATTTTCCCTCTCTTTTGCCCAGTCTGGAAGAAGCTGGAAAGGAAAAATGCTCATCAAACACTGGCAACCATTGTTCCTAATACGTGGTCCATCACCAAGTAAGCATTCCCTCATCCCCCACCCCAAGACAAATGAAAGATGCAGTTGTGGAAAAGCAAGAAGCATTGAGAATGATTGAGCATTCAGAGATCACAGATTGCCAGGAGAGAAATCAGGGAAATATATAAGGCTGCAAAAGAAATCTCTAGTCTCAAGACATGAATTGACTATGCAACAGAGACGTCTCTGCTGAGCCTCTTTCAAAGCTAAGCTTTACCTTGCAGTAGGTTCAAGTTAACTGAGTGAAACCGAAATTTTTCAGGAAGCATCAATGAACCTAATTATCCACAATATATTACTGCTACATTCTGAGAATCAGATTAAATGGCAGCTAAATTCACAGCAATGTTTTGCTTCTTTGTGTACAGCAGATGCCTTTGGGCCAGGCCAAAGGCTGTGTGTTTTGCAAAGGAACTCCTGTTTCTTTTAATCAACCACTTAAGTTGGATTAACACATTCCAAAGCCTTCCCTCACATCCATGTCTTATATAAGAGCAGAAAAACCGAGGCATGGCCTCAGAAGATTCCCCCACCTGCAACTACACGGTTTCAATTTATTTTTCAGAATGATACAGGGAATGACTTTGAAATGGGTTGAAATTGAACTTCTTTGAACTTTCTCCTTTCAGTTCCAATCAAAATTCTGGATGGTTTTGTTTATTGCCTTTAAAGCAGAGATTTAACCAGAGATGGTGTAACTTCAAGCTCTGCAGCTCTATGTGGGTATGAGCAAGACCCCATTTAGATGATAAACACTGCATATTCTCATCTGTAACAAACCCAAACCAACAGCATTGCACAATATTTTGATAAAGATCTTTTGTTATTTATATCAAAACTTACAGGAAATGGCACTCCTCGTCGCTTTCTGGGTGAGCAAAGACCACACTAACTTCAAACAAACTCTAAATTAAAACGAGAAAAGAACAAAAAGGTGGTAATGTTTAAACAAACAGGGAAGATATGCTCAAGCATCTGTATTGTAGTTTTAAGAAAACAATAAAGAGACAAAGGAGATTTATTCTACATCATTTAGACATAAAATCCATTAAGACATACAGACATAAAGACATTTAAATGTGTGTCTTAACAGTATTTGCATTTCTGAAGTCACCAAAGATTATCTGAGAGCACTTCACAACCATGAGTGACCTACACATCAGTAGCAGCCCCACTCTGTGAAGGGACCTGAGTCAGAGACAGCCTATGCTCAAAGCCTATTAGGGTCACTCAACTCCACAACCCCTCAGGGGGAGCCTCTTGAATAAAGAGGAAAACCCTGTAGTAGTCACCACTGTAAAATTCTGTCAGGGGCTTTGTTTGCAATGACTGCATGGCCTTGGGGCAAAGAAAGGCACCGTCCTCATGGATTGAGAGCTAGCCCAGAAACTCCAGTGTAATCTTGATTCTACCCCCAATTCCCTCTTTGGCCTTGGGCAAACAACACTCATTACTTGTGTTATTCAGATACCAGAACACCTCGAGAGGGCTATTGAAAAGATTGGCTAATATTCAAGTGCCTTGTAGATAAAGAGCACTAGACAAGCAACTTTTATGGTACAGGGATGTCTGGAGTGGCTCAGTGCCTAAATGTTGTAAAGCTTTGGCTAACTTAGTGTGTAAGAAGTTTGTTTCTTCTTGGATCATCTTCAGGGTGAGTGTTTCTTTCTTCACTGAGACAAAAGGGATGTTTGCAATTAGCACTCCTGGGAAAAGATAAGCTGTAATTATTATGGAAGCTGACAAATCAACATAAAAACTAAACGACTCTAGCCCTGGGGTCAGTCCTATGGCTGGTGACAAGTAAAACCTGCAGACTGCAGGAATTTACATTCAATATGATGGTGTGTCTGAATTTGATTATCAACATCCGATTGTCATGTTCAGTCATTGCCTTTCAGAAAGATTTTAAGAATAGTAGTCAGTTGCAAGTTGCAAACAGTTTGAAAAAGCATTTCCATTTCCGTTGCCTGCTTAGGGGCACTGCAGGCCTCAACATACCTATCTCCAGCGTTCATTACAGTGAACAAAGACAAGTCTTTCCCTTTTCAGTATGTTTCAGAAATATATTTTCTCCACAGAACCTGAACAACTGATCTCACCCAGCAGCAGCAGCAGTATTGGCAGGAACAGGAGAGAAAGAAGGAATATGTAAGCATTGCTTAGCCTCTGCAAAACAGAGATCCTGGAATAGGAGACAACTGGAAAAGTCTTATTGATAAAAAGAGGATGGGCAGCACAAGACCAAGAGATTTAGCACAAAACTGTGATGGTCTCAGAAGATACAATGATCTATGTAGACAAAAATGAGGATCGAGCCCCTCAGGATCGAGTCCTGGAGATCTCTGGTTAAAAGAACTTCCCCCTGTTTCTTTCTAGGGTAGATATAGGAGCAATGCAAATTGCTTCTCTGTTAATAGGGAAAAAATAGATCTATTTTTATTTTCCCCCCTTATAAGTTTATAAATATGTATACACACACACACGAACACATATGAAAAGAGAAAAATCAAACAGAGAA